AGGCGGTAGGCGGGCGGGTAGGTCGATTTAAGATTTAATGTTGATTGGTTAATAGGCGATCCACCTTCCGTATTAGGTAAGGCGGCTGCTAAGCCCGATCTTAGCGAGGAATACCAAAACTTAAAGGAAAAAAATAAAACGCAAATAAGTGCAATACTTTTTATATTTACTAGGAATTGAACCTAGACTCTTCGGATCTTAGAAATCTTAGAATACCTAAAAAAAAATACGCACAGACCACTTTTATCCGCCCGCCTGCAGGCAACGGGCGGGCGGGCGGATAACTTCCTACTAGGCGGACGGGCGGGCGCCTAGGCGGGCGGGCTATTACATAATCAGCCCGCCCGCCCGCCTGCCGCCTGCGGGCGGGCGACTGGGAGGCCTGGGTTCTTTAGCACTATGGTTAACAACGGAGTACCCGTTTCCTCGCTCGTCGGAACAGGAAATGTGGATCGGCTGCTTTCAGAAATCGACAAATTGTACTCGCGCATTGTGGCCCAGGTCCTTAACGCCAACCGCAATCAATCGCTGCAAACCACAAACGCTAAGAGCACATCTTCTCCGCTCACCGTGTCCGGTTCTCTACACATTCCAGACCGCATCCGACTCACCCAGACGCCCGTTTCGACGAGGATCTTGGAGGTACTACTACTCATCATGACAACTTGCGCTATCGACGTGTATTTGGTCGCAGCGGATAGTACGTCTACCAATGGCATCTTGCCGCAAAACCCGCATTGTATCGCTGCTGTTGCTAGCTTGCTTGCAAACTCAAGCATTGTTCAGAAGGGACGAGAGGATGTGGAGAGAGGAGTGGTAGCAGTTCAGAAGCAACCGCTTATACCTCCAGGATCTGAATGTTGTAGCGATAAGGAGCTGGCACGGAGAGGTATCTTCGAGGGATACTCGTTTTCAATGGGATACTGGCGAGATGGCGGAAACGAAGGAAGTGTAGGTGCCGGAGTTCATAATGCGAAGGCAAAGGGATGGTTTGGTATTGATGTAGGAGTGGCCTCGCGGGTGTAGTAAAGTAGAACAACGAGATGCACTTTTAGATGTTAGGAATTTCCTTCCGTTGAAAAGCAAATACTCTCTTTCGACCCACAGAAATCGAATTCTGGCAAGTGACACGGCATAATTTCTTCCGCTCAGTGCAGTGAATGACGAACCACTTCGTACGACAAGTCCGGTGGTGGGGCCAAGCTCGTCGACCCACCGGGCAAAGCATCGAGGCTGACGGACCGCGTTGCCGGCTCAACGATGCCAAATAGCAGGTTTTGTCCCCGTCACCGGCCGCGGAGCCCCAGATCTCAGGCGCGAATACGAAGTTATCGATCCATTGTCTCGTGGCATGTGGGCGATGTCCGGGTCTCGATGGTGGGCCGATGGATGCGGAGAAGGTCGGAGGGCGGGGCATGGTTTCACCGAAGCGGGGAAAATCCTCCACAGATCGACCAAACAACCAAAGCCACTCCCGCACCCTTCCGACCCTCCCTTTTAGCCTGAATGAAACCGATGCCCGCTCGACGTAACTGCGCATTGCACACTTCGCCGCTTCTCCACCGTGATTCGACATAAAAATGCACGGCATACCAGCATTGGTTCGGCAGGCGAATCCTCCAGCTGCTGGAAACCACCACTCACCGCCATCATGTGGCTTTCAACAAAGCATCTGCTGTGTGGTCTTGGACTCACGGTAGCCGCAACTTCAGCCCAGAATGTGTCTTCTGAGTACTTTGCTCCCAATTCCACCGGCTTCCTCATGGTCCATGGCTGGGAGTCAGTCCTGGTACAACCTTTTGGCTACGACGGCTTCCGTGTCCGAGCATGGCCCTTCCGACCTCCCAATGGCAACGAAATCAGCTTTATTTATGACCCACCTATCGAGGGCCCAGAAAATGGAGAGGCCCATGGCATGAATTTCGACTTCACCACCAACGGCAACCAGAGCGCCATTATCCGGAACGGGAACATCATTGTCAAGACATATGGCCTTGACGGCGCCCACTACCGTCTAGCATTCTACCGAATTGAGGAGGACGGTTCCGAGACCCTCCTCACCAACGAGTTCAACCCCGTCAAGGCACTCAACCCGCGCTATTACTCCTGGCCCGGCACGGGATACGAGTTCTCGGCTGCTTTCTCCTTCAGCACCACACCGGACGAGCAGATATTCGGCACGGGCACGCAGCAGGACTTCATGGTCAACAAAAAAGGATCTGTCATCGACCTAATCAACTTCAACACATACGTGCCGACGCCCGTCTTCACGTCGAGCCGCGGCTACGGCTTCGTGTGGAACTCGGCCGCACAGGGCCGCATGGAGTTCGGCTCGCGCCGCAACAAATTTGTCACGGACTCGACAACGCTCGTCGACTATGCCATCGTCAGTGCGCCCGAAGGCGACTACGACGGTCTGCAGCGTAAGTTGTCTGCTCTCACAGGCCGCGCGCCCACGCCGCCCGAGTTCTCTCTGGGCTACCTGCACTCGAAGCTGCGGTACGAGAACCAAACCGAGGTGGTGCAGCTGGCAAAGCAGTTCCATGACCGCGACGTTCCCGTGTCGCTGATCGTCGTTGACTACGAGTCGTGGGCGCAGAACGGCGATTGGGGCCTGGATCCGGCACTCTGGCCTGACGTGGCGTCCATGGCGGCGCAGGTCAAGAACTTGACAGGCGCTGAGATGATGGGCTCGCTGTGGCCGGGCGTCGAGGATGACAGCGTGAACTACGCCGAAATGATGCAGTACGGGCTGCTTTCGGCGACCATGTCAGGGCCTGGGACAACAGACTCTTGGAATGGCAGCTACATCCGCAACTACGACGCCACCAACCCGCGTGCGAGGGAGTTTTTGTGGAAGACGCTAAAGAAGAACTACTACGACAAGGGCGTCAAGAACTTCTGGATCGACCAGGCCGACGGAGGCGCGCTTGGAGAGGCGTGGGAGAACAACGGGCAGAGCTCGTACATTGAGTCCATCCCGTTCCCGCTTCCTCAGGTTTTGTATCATGCCGGCACCCAGGCTTCAGTTGGGAAGCTCTATCCATGGGCCCATCAACAAGCCATCGAGGAAGGAAGTCGCAATGCCACCGGGAAAGAAATGGGCACACCATGCGACACCGTTTCGCTCAGCCGTTCGGGCTACATTGGCTCGCAGCGCTTCTGCAGCATGATCTGGTCGGGCGATACCGAAGCAACGTGGGAGGTGCTGGGCAACCAGATCCCCAACGCGCTATCGGCTGCCTTGACGGGCTGGAGCTGGTACACGACGGACGCCGGCGGCTTCCAGGCCGACAAATCCATCGACTGGTCTAACAACATCGACCGCCCCGAGTACCGCGAGCTGTACGTCCGCTGGTTGCAGTGGACAACGTTCTTGCCGTTTATGCGCAACCACGGCTCGCGCTCCTGCGACGTCCAGCACGCCTTCACCTGCGACAACGAGCCCTGGACGTATGGAGATGAGAACACGCCGACAATTGTATCGTACATTCACTTGCGCTACCGGCTAGCGTCGTACTTGCGCGCGATTTTTGAGCAGTTTTCGCAGACCGGAAGGCAAATCTTGCGCCCGCTGTTTATGGATTTTGGAAAGAGCGACGAGAATATCTCGCTGTGGACGAAGGAGAACCGGAACGTTACAACGCAGCAGTACATGTTTGGCCCGCGCCTGCTCGTCGCGCCTGTTGTTCTGCCAAATGTGACCGAGTGGCCAGTGTATCTGCCTAAGACGCTGTCTGGGGACGCGAAGCCGTGGACGTATTGGTGGACAAATGAGACGTTTGCTGGCGGCCAGACGGTTAATGTAAGTGCGCCGTTAGAGCATATTCCGGTGTTCCACTTGGGTAGCAGGGAGGACATCTTCTCTGGAAACGTATTTTAAGGTAGAGGGAAGTAATAGTAGTCTATATTTAGCGGATAGTAACTATTAGATTCTAGTAATTAATCTAACAATAAGGATAGGTTTAGTATTAATTCGGTAGTAATTAATACTTTCTATATCTTAACTTTAATACCTTGGTATTAGTATATCGACTGAATTTAGTATTGAATTTATATATAGCCGATATCGACTATACTGATTATCTCTTATTAACTATTACTAGGTAGGTAAAGTTCTCTATGAAAGGCCTGCTAAAATACCTCTAGAATCGTCTCTGATTAGCTATCTCGCTACACGGTTGATCTCGTTTCGCGGTTAAAGACACGTGAGACACTACGCGCCAGCGCACGCCAAGACTTGTCACGGTAACGAGGTGGACTTAAACCAAATAGTAAGGGATTAACTACAAGACGTGGTACGAAGAGGAAAGGAAGAGAACGAGAGGCGGCGGCCATATATATGGCTCGCTGGCAGGCGCTAGGCGCTAAGCGAGAGACAACGAGCGAGACAAATACAAACAACAATTGACAAATAATAAATAAAGACAAACCATCAGAAATATGAACAAACAACAATTAGCAAATAACAAAGACAAACCGTTAGCTAGCGCTTGCTGGTAAGAACTGCAAGGAACGCGCTAGAAACCCGTGACAATCCTAGCTAATACTATATTATTATCAGCTAGGATTACCCGGTTATATCCGCGTTTCACCTTACCATTTATTATTATACAACCTTACCCCCTTATCTATATTTTAAATTGAGCTGGGTTGAGTTACATTTATTTACCCTAATCTATCGCCCTAAGCAATATGCAGACTATAGACTATTTGTTGAATAGAGCGAGAAAGCTGGACACTGCTATCGCATTAAATTGTGTGAAACTATCTGCTTAAATACACGACTTCCCTTGGTAGAAAGGTGACTATCGTTCTACTAATAGGAGAGAATGGTATAATGTTGAAAAAGTAAAGTGATGATAGGGTTCGTGCTAAGCGAGATAATATGGTTATGGTGGTGATGGTTGACAGTTCATGTTTCACGCGCGTTTCTTCTAGCGCTTTCCTGTAAGCGCTAGTCGATGCTTTGTCTTTATTTATTGTTTGTCAACCGCTATTTGCTTGACTTGTTTCTCGCCTATCGTTTAGCGTCTATTGGCGAGTTGTATATATGGCCGCCGCCTCTCGTTTCTTTTCCTTTTCTCCTTGTACCACGTCTTGTGATTAATCCTTGACCTTTTAGTTCGAATCCAGAAACTATAATCTAGATCCACCTCACTGCCGTGACATAAGTACTAATTCCCCCGCGTAAATCGCACCCTATTATCCACCGTTAGCTGTCTCATTGCGATTACTTGTCTTAAACTCGTCAAGTTTTTATAAATTTCTTCCGTAGATGAGCTGCGAGCGCCTCGGCTGGCCTTTTAGCATTAGCTAATAAGAAATTAAATCTGCAGGCATAGCGGGCATCTTCTAGATGCTTAGCAGCAACTTGTCTACGGAGGTTTAGTGGCGGGATGGCGACGGCGCATGGTTTGCATATAAGCATACCTAGTCTTCCTGGCAATTAAAGAGGTCCATTTCAAAGTTTCGGGTAAAGAACTAAGAGTAGGCAGCGTTAGAAGAGATTACTTATAGAGGGAAAAGAAGAAGACGAAGAAAAAAAAATTCACGCCTATAACTCGTTTAATTGCCACGCGATTTAGAGTTAAGTCAGGTAGAGAAATCTATTTTATTCCACTGCATAGTAGGCGGTTCTAATAAAGAAAGTAATAGAATTTTAATAGGGTAAGGGAAGGCGGTAAGAGAGCGGGAGCGCTAGTACAGAAAGAGGACCGACCCATGTTGAATACATTAGAGGGCTGAATTCTTTTAACCATATATCTTAGCCCACGTCTCTAGCAGCGAGGAGAAATAATAGCTAATACGGTATGTCATCGCGGACGGAGGGACCGTACGCAGCGGCAAAGGTACTTAATTCCATAAACCATCGGAGGATATAAGGGAATCTCCCAAAAGGAAAACCAAGTAAAAACAAGTACATCTAGTTCTATAGATACATGAGGAGCTCATTCTTTGTTAGCCCGCTCTTTTGCCCAACCCTCCTCCGTAAAAATTGGCTGATCTCAAGGTCAACATCTACCGCTGGCTTTAGCGGGAAGCTTTGACTTAGAGATTTAAATGCACCTTTACTAATTACAGCCTCAAGTACTTGCTGTCTATAGTCAAGGTCAGGCTGAGAGTACATTCGGATCAATCCCAGGACAATATCCCGGTTTTCTGGGTTTAACTCGGCCCGTAATGCATTTATAAAGCATTTTCGATCCTGTTCTCTTACGGTGGGGTTCAACGGGGTTTCAGCTCGGAAGATACGAGGCAGTGCAGCAGCGAGCTGGAAAGGCTCATATGCTCCAAAACTCCAATCTAGAATCCTAGTACCAGTTTAGTACATCCATTAATTTATTCTAGAGAGGACTACGCACCCCGATATATTGAAGCTGCTATCGATTATTATATTTGGAGCGGCGATGTCACCATGACCCATAAAGTATAGATCATTATCAAGTTTTATGTCTACCACTTGGGATAAAATATTTCGGTGATAGAAGCAATCTCTAATCCGAAAGCCTTTTAGCTGACCTCGGCATATGCGGATGACTCTGTTGTCGATAATGCGCGTAAGATAGTCAAGTAGGCATTGCGACTGCTGATCTAGAGAAATTAGCTGACAGTTATTATATATATTATAGATGTATAACCGTACTCTGTCTCCTAGTGCAAAGTATTAAGGATATAACAATATGCGCTAGTTGATTAATAACCTTCATCCGAGGGCCTCCTTCTGGCGGAAAAGAATTGTTCCACTGTAGTTGTTTGCCAGGAATCCAGTTATACACGGTAAAAGGGAACTGGACCGGATTGTGGAAGTTCAACTCTTCGCCAATGAGCTTCGGGGACCAAGAGAAACCACTGGCCTCTAGTTGTCTCAAGATCTCATTTTCTCCAGCCGTGACATCGATTGCCGAGTTTATGGAAAGTTTGATGGGGACGCGCACTGCCCATGTTGTGCGATCACGGAAGACGAGTTTGTAAACGTGGCACTGTGCGCCCCGTAAGGGCCTTGAAAGGGTTCCGTCCGCAAATTCCGGGATCGAGCCATCGAGTCCGAACTTAGCGACAGCGTTTGGTATGTTTTCGAAGATGGCAGCCATTAAGGAGGGAAGTTCGCGATGGAAGGATGGGAGGGTAACGAGCAGTAAACTCGCTTGTCAGACAGGACGAGCTAAGGTCAGATCGCTTCCCGGCATCACCTCGGGTGCGGCCGTGCCGACGACGAGCGGCACTCCTAAGGTAGTCTGCACTCGTCGCTACGAACGTCACCCCAATCTCCATCCGTGCTGCAGCCTGCAGAGGTGCAAACAAGCGGCACGTGGCGCTTGTTCAAGCTGCACGCTGACAAGCGGCAATCATAGTCTGTGCGTGCCGACGATCGGCACTCCTGACCCATTCTTGCCGCTGAAAGTCTCCCCAGGAATCTAGTATACTGGCCAATAAGTAGTACTCACATTAATATATGCAGCCGACGAGCGGCACTCGTAGTCCGTGCGTGCCGACGAGCGCTAGCCGCTAGGTGGTGCGTAATTGTTACTGGAATGGCAGTGACCGCAATCACTAGGTAATTGGAAAAAATATAAAGCACCCATATCTAGACCTCTACTATACTCTCCCCTCTCAACACGACAACAATATCTAAAGATGGATGTTCAAGACTTTCAGAGACTCCATTCACTTGAGGCTGCTCGCAGACGCTTCGACGACAGCAAAGGTGACGGTCTGGTTTCCGATGTTTTTCTCCCGTTTTTCCGCGAATCGGCAATGGAGCGTCGCTTCGGCCTTCTCCTGCTTCATCGCCACTTCGATCTTGGACAAGGAGAGAAGCTAGTCTACTACTAGAGTACCGCTTCACACTGGAAACCCATTGACAACTTTCCTGCCCCCATCCCCGCGGTTTGGACGGTCGTCAACGGTACCGCACTCCCGCTCGAATACTAATACAACGATGGGCCTGAATACGAATTGAGCGATGACGATAAAGGCTTCATGTTAAAGTTCGAACAGGTTCAGACAGAGCACGGCATCGGAAATATGTTTGGCCTTTGTGCCTACCCTGGTGACGATTTCGAAGGTTCTTGCGAGATTACTCAAGGAAGATCGAATGTAAACCTTGCCTTGAGCGATGTGAGTCTCTCTTTCTAACCACGAGTACAACAACATCCGCTGAAACAGTGCCCTTAGTGCCTCAAAAACATGGTCACAGTTGATACAACTTGATTTTTCGAGGAAAAGTTGTGAAAGCGTGGTTGCAGGTGCACATGCAGTTGTTGCATCGAATAGGCGTTTCACGAAAATAGTCGTCTAAACTCGTGTTTTAGACGTTTGTTCGCACCGAATAGGCGCGCATAAAAGTCGCGTGCATATTCCCCCGGTTTAGTCGTCTATTTCGGTGTTGTAGGCCGGGTGGGGTAATATCTCTGACTCGATTTTTAAGTTGATCTTAACTATTTCTTATTTCTAACTTCTTTTTTGAAACTAACTCTGCATATAATAGGGAATTTGTATCGTAGCGAACTTATAAATCCGATACACGCTACTGCAATAATACTAAATTAGACGACTAATTTGGTAGAATAAGCAAGCATAACACCTGAATAGACGACTAAACCGGTGGAATATGCACACGTCACTTATGCGCGTCTATTCAGTGCGAATAGACGTCTAATTCACGTGTTTAGACGACTGCTTACATGCAACGCCTAATCGGTGCAACATAGGTAGTAATAGATTAGAGGGACAAGCAGCGTCCAATTCCTCGCGCCAGCTTCACAGCATCTTATGCTGAAACTCCTTCGCTGGATATCATCTGACATGGAAACACAAGGAGGCCGATTCTACGCTGCGTTAGTGCAGGAAAGCATCCGCAAAGAGCCTACTAACAAAGTTTCCCGAGGATAAGCAAGACCTATACCGCGGTCGATGGCAGGATTGAAGAAGTGTTAGGGGAGAATTCAGCTGCTTGGATGCATGAGGACGTAAAGATACTCCTCACTTTTACGCATACGGCTGACCGGTACTTGTCTTGGCAATATACTGCTATGCAGTGCCGCTTTCACCCTGCCTACCTGCGGCGTAGAGATGCATGCATGCTTGCGGCGAGCGCAACGTGGCTCCATCCGCTTCGCATAACACTCAAGTTCCTGCGGTTCCGATCACACCAGCGGCGCAGCAAAAGTCGCCTACAGCAGCGGCTGCAGCGTGTACCCCGCTTCGTGGTTTGCCAGCCATCCTGTCAGTCTACCTAGCACGCAACTGCCTACGCGTACCTTTAAATTGGCGTACTGCGCTAAAGAAATTTCCAGTCCATCTTTCACTGATATTAGACAATACTTCAAGTCCCATCAATCTAGCAATATCACTGTACTCATTCACCAGCCATGGAAACGGTCGTCGTAGACTCGATCCCCGAACTATACTCTCTCATTAACGACATTTCAAACCTTCCTCCCAACCCTCCTCCGCTTTATATAAATCTCGAAGGCATTGAACTTGGCCGCCACGGTTCTGTTTCCACCATGTCGCTCTGCGTCCCCGCGAAGAAGAAGATCTACCATATAGACATTCATGTGCTCGGAAGTGCCGCGTTTACCACCACTACCTCAAGCGGCAAGTCGCTCAAGACAGTCCTTGAATCTTCGACTATTCCCAAAGTCTTTTTCGATATGCGCAAAGACTCAGATGCCTTATTCGCCCACTACCAGGTTTCTCTCGCCAGGGTCCAGGATGTTCAGCTCATGGAGCTTGCAACACGGAAATACTCCAAGAAATGGCTTGCCTCGCTGGTTAAATGTACCGAGGACAGCACGATCCCCACTGCCGTAAGATCTTCATGGCAGAACCACCAAACCTCTCTACGAAACGTTTCATTCCTATACCGGCGCCCGATTCCAGCAGAAGTTGAACGCTACTGTAGTTTTCGTGTGTCCGTGCTTCCAGACCTTTGGAAATTTTACGACACGAAGCTTCGTCCCGCAAACGAAACTTTCTGGAGGGAAAAGGTTGACCAAACAACCAAGGAACGTATCCGCCTCTCTCATAGTATGGGAGCAAGCATAGAAGCAACCACAACCGCGCAGGGGCCGTGGGATCCAGATGAAATAGAAGAGGAAATTGACGCGTGGAATGAGGAAGTTATGGAGAATGCTCGCGAAGAGGCCGAGGAGGAAGCGCAACGGTTAGAGGAGGCATTTGAAGCGTTCAAGGACGAGATGGAACTTAGGGAAGAGGAGATAAGTGACTGGGAATCTGATGGTGTGCATTGCGAGGCAGATGCGTGGTAGGCGGAGGCTCGCCTTATGCGGTCCCCTAGTAAAGCTGTATACGGCCCCCTTGTACGCGCAAGTCAGTTTTCTCATAATTTGCTGCCAGGGCGCTCGCTCAAGCCGTGCGACCCGCCGCTCTGTGCCCTGTCCTTGGGCCTGGACATGGTGAGCCGCTCCCGGAGATGGCAGGTTGGCGGCAGACGCCAAGGGCAGTGTACGGCGGCACGATCTCCTCTACTGCCTGCGGGAGACAGAGTCAGGCGTAGCGAGCGCATACACAACCCGAGTTCTGCCGACATAGTCGACACGGCCGCAGTCCCACTCCCATGTGACAGCAGCGCGCCACTTGCGTCGACATTGCCCGAACGTGCACGCTGCTGCGGCATTACGGGATCCGGCGCTGCGGGCTATAAGTGCGGTGAGGTCCAGAACGACTGCGGGGACGCGGATGCTGATATGGTGGGTGTGGGGGAGTGCTGCGCCAGGGGAGGCGTGAGCGGGTAAAGATCAATAACTGGTGGGTGTGCGACGCCTGGTGCGGAAACAGTAGCGACAGCAGTGGAGTGACCTGGTGGGCTTTAGGTTTGTCTGAGTTGGCATGAAAATTGCCTTAATCTGGATTATGTCGCGCAGCGTTGCTGTGACTGGGAGCTTCTCAGTTTAGCCAGAGCTTGCTGGGAGCGACGTCGGCCCAGCGAGCGCGGAGCCGAGAGGGTGTCTCAGGGACGGTAGAGCTGGCGTGCGGACGTACTTGCTAAAAGGCGTCGACCCAAGGAACGCAGAGCTTAGTTACTGATTCATATAGCAATGGGCCAAGTACGTGCGCTGAAGCTATTTGGGAAATAATTGTGTCTTCGATGTCGATGAGAAGGAGCGGCCTCACCCTAGGCTGCCCGCGTATCTTGGTCCTTGAATTCAGTCTTCTTGAGATGTAGTGGCAGGCTAGGCTATGTATTTTGGACGCGACGGTGTTGGCAAAACTGAGCTGCGAAGCAAAAAGTAGAAGTGGGCTGTATATAGCAGCAGGGAAAAGCTGGTCCTTCTAGTGAAATGAGACCAGTCCATAACCAAGCGCAAACCGAAGGAAGAGGTAAGCATGTCGCTTACCGTTCCCGCCAGCCACAGGAAATACTCAGGTGGAAAAATGCCACGTCCTTCCCAAGACATTGATAGCTTTTACAATCCCGTCTCTCCCTCTGTTAACATTATAGTGACTTGTCCCGCAATCTTCTAGCATTCCATCCATCCCAAAGCGACCATCGGCGAGATATGCGGGATAGTGTATGCAGATGCTGCAGGTGTTTCAGCACAAGACAAAGTCAATCCAGATCTGAACAGTATGAATAAGTGTTAAACCAATAGGCGGGTCTACGCATTTGATATGCAGGTTTGAGTGACCTATATATTCCAACAATAGGCTTATGGCAAAACTTTTCCTGGTATGCCGTAAGAGCGAGAAAGAGGTACAATGGGTCTAGCAAAGTATACACTATGAATACCACTCTAAAGACATGGACCTATACATCACGCAGCCTTGTATCGAGGGTGTAATACGTAAAGGGAGACAACGTGTGGAGGAATGTCTCTAGCATTTAAAACTAGGATATATCAAATTTTCCTCCAAACCAGAGAGCACCAGCCCTGCACCGACGAGCGCAGCCAGCCGCGGGTTAAGGTGAAGACAGGCGCTAACGGTTGCAATCACCAGCATGAACCAGCATGAAACCAGAGGTATTCCCGGTTCATCACGGCTCCCACTTCTCCAGCTTCATGAGAGCCTTGACCAGAGCATCCAGCTCCGGCCAGACCACCTCATCCGCCCGTTTATTCACAGACTTTATCGCGGCCAGAAGCATAAAGGTGTTGTAGTAAGAGTACGTGTCGCCACTGTAGAAGGGACCGAGGAGTCTCTATCCGTTACAATTAGCCAAAATAATCAACTAGAAATGAGAGAAAGAGACGGATATACGTATTATAGATCCGTCGCTCTGCCGATACACAACATGTAAGTACTAGACATATGTATGAATAATCTAGCCCACAACCGGCACAGTTTTAAAAAACAGCGATGAATATTGCCTCGGCGGTTTAGGTCCTGCAGCCTTGCCTGACTAGCCACGGTCGTGACACTAAACTGGTATATGGCTTCGCCAACTTCGCTAGACGTCGGCTTGGCTTCCAGGACTGTAGTTAAGAAGTAATGTCTCATATTCGCGTCTTTAAACGGTGAGAGGCGGATTTGGGGAAAGCGCTCTACTAAGGGCCGGATGCCCTCGGGATTATAGAACTGCAGGATGAAATCGATCTTAACAATTTAGATCGGGTGACCTATAAGGGTGGGGAGGAGCTCGCGGTCGACGCTCTTAGTGGGATTGTCTACTGGAAAAATTACAGGGTCCGGGTCAGTAGTAAACACGGCTTCGATTGCCTTATATTCATCATTCTCAGCCCTGAGCTCCTGAAAGGAGTCTCCACCTTAAGGAAAATCTCCGCGACCGATTTGAGCTTAGCCTTCGCTTACGCTTCTCCTTTAACTATATTGTCCGTCGCGGTGAAAGTAGAGGTTATGATATCGCCTATTCCGATAGAAAGCTCCTAACTGTCCGACTCAATACCATCCGAAATGCAGTTCCGATAGATTTGTTTATCGGTCAAGCGTTCGACTAACTCATAGATCGATGCCGGGACCTTTTCTGTCTTCGCTGCCTTAACCTAGGCGATTCCATCTGGCCCTCTACCGTCCTGGTATAGGTTCCCCAAGTAGACAGCCGGAGTTGTATAGTCTAGGTTGGCGCGCTTAACACGCTTATCACCCCCGCTGGTCTTGGTAGAGCTCGTGTCGCGCAACTCGGCCGGAGACGGAGTGACTTCACGCCAGGCGGGGAACCGGAAGCGAGCCTGCGATTGCGCCCGCGCGTGCCTAGAGACGCGGAACATGCTCGTTTCAGCGACTTGGGCGGGGACAGTAGTGAAGCGGCCGCGGCTAAGGTGTCGGGGGTGTCTAAAGAATCGAACTAGGCGTGGACGTAGTTTATATTGAAGAGTAAGATGAGTGCGGAAGTTGTCGTGATGTTACGCAGGCGCGCGCGATATTGCAGGGCTTGGAGCGGGCCGTAAACGTAAGCGCTCCCCGTTATCTTTATCTTTATCCCCGTTGCCCGCGAGCTCCTCCACCCTCGCCGACACTCGCGCTGCCTCGCTCCTACTTACCGAATCTAACCTCGCCCTGCATGACGTAGCCACGTCATGCACTTTAAGAATAAGTAATGGACCGTGACATCCGGTAATAGTACGGTTCGACCTATTCGCCCCCCTCTACTACCGCCTGCCTAATCGGGCAAGGGCCCGGCAGAAAGTTGCCTTCGGCACAACCCGCCCGCGCCAGTCGCTAGCGAGACGCCGCGCGAGGACGCGCGGGCGGGGAACAGGAACTAACACCCCTCATTTTGTACCAAAAATCAACCAAAAAATTCCATATCTCCAACCTCACTGTCACAGCGCGGCACGCGAAGAGGAAAGTTATTACATGTTACAAACGTCGCTTTTTCGCGCCCGCGAGCGCTCCCGTGTCCTCCTCCGCCGCCAGCTGCTCGCTCCTCCGCCTGTTCGCTCTATCACGTGTTCAGTCACCGTAGCGAGCCTTCCTCGTGCCACGTCCCGCACGTGCTGGCATCTCTCTGTCCACAGAGGGTGCCGCACTGCTACTGAATACAATATCTCCATCCTCCTCCATGGTGTTGCAGTCGTCCTCGCTGCTGCTGCTGCTGCTGCTGACGGTGATTGGCTCGTCCTGCTGCTGCAGCTGTTGCTTCTTGGCCCGTGGGCGTGCTGGGGCAGTTGTAGTACGCTTTCTCTTGCGTGTAACTGTTGTTGTAGTTGTCTCCTCCTCCTCGTGATGTTGCAATTGTTGTTGTTGTAGTATTTGCTGCATCATTTGCTCCATCTGCGCCAGCTTAGCAGTCACTGAACCGTCCTCCTTCGCCTTCTTCTTCCTTGCACGCTTGGCACGCTGCTGAGTTGCCTGATCAGCTCGCCCTGCAACCTCGAATTGCGAAGGCTCCCTCTGTGATGGTGTTGAGCGTTGCTGCCGCTGCTGCTGCTGAACACGGGGTCGGCCTTTACGCTGCTGTTCAACAAAGTCCTTGATATGGCGAATCGAGTCCTCTGGGTTAGTAGGCCTCTCATACTGCCAAAATGGGTGTATCATGCTAAGAGGGATCGCCCACTGTTCATTCGCCATGTGTTGCTTAAGCGTGTGAACACAGGGCAAGCCTATGGAGTCTTCAAAATTGCTGTAGCAGCGTGCCTTGTAGTCCTTCAGGAGGTCCATCTGATCAAGTATTTTATTCAGTGCCTCTGGGAATACGTGATTCAGGAGGTTCTAAAGCAACGGCTCCCTCCTGTGCTTGTGAGCAGGCCGGCCGAAGCCCCTTGATTCAACCTTCCTAATATCTTGCCATTTATTTTGAAGAGCATTGCGTATATTGTCCTTCAGACTAATAAAGTCCTGCTGCGGGTGGCTGAAATAGTTCTTCATACGCTTATAGGCGCCTTCTGCAAGCGAGCTAACACTAGGTGTAGTTAATGCGATTCAGTGAGGATATAGATATATATAACTCACTATGTATCAAAATTGAAGAAGCGATTAGTCCATCCATGGCACCACTCCTCCTTATATGGGAGCCACTAACTGCGAACGTAGTCGACGAGGCCCGTGTATTCAGCATATTCGTCCTGAAAGGTGGCCCAGCAGGTGTTGAATTCGGCAGGGCAACGAGCACTAATTAGCTCATGAAAACGATGGACACATTGCTTGCGTAGCTCCATAATTAAAGTAATATGCTCTGCGTCGTCGTCTTCTTCTTCGTTGCAGGCGAACGTCTTCAGTATCCTCGTAGTAACGTTCTTAGCAATATGCCATGTACATATTAGCTGTGGGACGTCACTGAAGTGCCGACGAAGGGTGTTTTTCAGTGCCATCTCGTAATCAGATACGAAGACAGATGGAGTCTTCAATCCAGCAGCTATTAGCTGCTCAATAGCCCATGAATACTCGGCTTCACACTCCTTTGCCATCAGACAGAAGGCCACAGTGAACGGGCGGCCCAGTGGAGACTTGCCAATCACATAGAATAGTGGGATGCGCCTGTTATTCGTGTTGTAAGTACAATCAAGCATAACAACCTCTCCCTAGCGCTGTTGTAGCTTCAGTGATTGCTTGTGGGCCCAAAACACCGTGTGGGCGTGACTCTAAGGATCTAACTTGTAGGTACAGATATATTCGTCCTTGTTGTTCAGTAGCTCCTGTATCATAGCTTGTAGCGGAGTAAGTCCTCCGAGGCGCTCTCTCTTCGTCTTGGCACGGTGATTGCGTATATCATTGTCTGTAATGAGGCTCTCCGGGTCTTCAAGTTGTAATTGAACACGTATTTGCTTTGGGCGGCTAGCGACGCTAAGGGTGTCGATCTGCTACTTTACAGCATCTGTCATGTGTACTTTGCGGAGGCTTGGATAGGCAATCGGGTCCTTAAACGGCTTATGGTTATAAGGCTTCGTAGCAGACGTCTCAATCCTCCATGTGTTGTTCTCGTCGTTCTGGCGGCGAAGGATAACTTGAAAGGGACAGTCAACCTTCCTCGTGCCTGTTAACAGCCTCACACTGGCCTGCGACTCGTACGTGCCGCTGCGGTCACAGCCCATACGAATCTTCTTCAGCACGCCATTTGCCTTATTGGACCCGAGGCTGCGAAGACCGTAGCCATGGTCATCTGCGAAGGCCATTGCCGCGTCCCAGGCGGCCTGTGAGGTGGGGTGAGTTGTTTCAGGCGGAGCAGCAAGGTCGTAAGGCATTGTGAGGCCCTGCAGCAGCGTGCCCAGCGGGCGTGGGTGGGTGGGTGGGCGCGAAGAGGTGTTGTTGCGAGATGCGCACGCGAAGACGCGACGTTGCGAAGTTGGCTTTCTACCGGGCGCTTTACCCGATTAGGCAGGTGGTGGTGGGGGGGGGTCAGAATAGCTGAAAAGGGTGGTCAGAATATCCAGTGCCGATTTGACCGCGGCCGAACTGGTATTTCTGCCTATTTATCGCCTATACTGCCGCGCCTAGTAATTTATTTATATTGAGACTTTTTAAACTTATTAACCTAGAGGTATATTCTAATTCTACGATTGAAATAAAATAATTACCTTTCGTGGTGTCGCGATGCAACCGGGTAAAGTGGTGCGGCACCCGACGCTCTAGCGTTTTAATTTTCTCTAAGTCCTACGTATCGATACTAATTTCTAGCCCGTCCACCACTATAATTAGTTAATAGAAATTCAACGAAGCATCAGCTCAGCTTCGCGATCTTGCGATCGCATTTGATTGGACCGCGTTTGGCGTCAACTACGGAGTATAAATAGTACAGGGTATAGGCGCATCGGATTGGAACGGGCCGCTGTGGAGCAAGAAATATCGATGCCGCAAATAGCACAGGTTTTCGTACTTATGGAGGCAACGAATTACAACTCAGAAGCCCAGGCACAGACGCCGAATTCCAACCGCATGCGCCTACACCCTGTACAGGTTCGTCAAGGCCCACTCTAAGCGGATCTTGTGGGTGGGGCGGCTTTTCATTGGGGCCGAGCACACTAATCTTGCAGACTGCCCCAGAGTGAGCGGTTAGGGCGGCCATTAAGGAGAGGAAGCCATCGACGCCTTTGAAACAACACAGATATTTAACTGTCTCAAAAGCCGGGATCGCTTCAAGAGTTGGTGAGTCCGCGTCAATGCATATGCAGGTAGAACCCAATTGATTTATATCCACCAATAGTGCCATCGGAACTGCGCACAGACGGCGCCCCCAACTTCTTCACATCTGCAGCTGGCGCCTGCTTTGACCCACCCTTCTCTAAATAATTTTCTGGCCTTCCTACCGATTCCTCCCAAGCAAACGAGTTGAGCTGCCTCTCCTACTACTCCTTGTCCAATTTTTCCTCTTTCGACATACAATGAGCGACTGGTGGGACGACTTCTCAAACAACCTTGCGACCGATCTCGGCCCTCTCATTTCTCTGTTTGGAGAGACGCCAACGAAGCAATATCTCAGCGAGTGTTTGAGTCTAATTGATATCATTATCTTTGCCTCATGCCCTCTTGGAATCCTTACGGCGGTGGTGTCGGCTATTCGTGTCTGCGGTACGCCATCTCTTCGAGCCTTCATTGGGCGAGCCCAGGAAGGGGGAGGAAGCGCTGAAGCCGAGCTATGTTCATCCACAAGTCGCGACGTCTGTGAGTTGTACAATAATGGTGGCATAGCCCGAGTGTTTGGTCGACCAAAGCTGCTCGAATTTGTCCACATCACTAAGCCTCCGGATGAGGATTTCTATCTCCCAGGGAGTGAAACACCAACCGCAGGGATTCATGCGTCCAAAGAATACTTCGACAAACTAGGAGAAGGCAATGAATGGATAGAGCTTGGAAGCACCAATGCGTCAGATCAAGAAAACCAAAAACCGAAGACAGAGCTCAACTTCGCTCCTAATCCGAACCTCTCTCTCAATGTAGGGATTAAACCTCGACACCAAATCTGGTTTATCTTCGCTGCCGCTCTCGGGGTAGCGTTGCAATGTGCTGTACTACTCTGGGCTTTAATCGCGCGGTACACCCTGCACTTGCTAAGGGACGGCTCGGAAGATTACTACGCTGTCCCAATGACGATTATTGGAACAGTGTTACTATGTATAGGAATGGCCTTCTGTGCATCTCTTATTGAGAGGAGCACAGATGAAAGAGTTTTTCAAAGGAAGCCGGCTCACGGTGTGGTTGAAAAAACTTCAATCTACTGGGTGCAACCAGGAAACCAACATGTTGGCGATCAAGTCTTTGATTCTTTCGCATACACCGGAAATATCGACCGCTATACGACCTCTTGGAAAAAGAAAAATGATACTAAAATGGTTCTCGTTTGGACATCGGTGTCGACTACAATGGTTGGGTTCTTAGTGCAGTTCTTAGGCTTACGAGCTTGTCATTCTTCAGTCGCAGTAGCACAACTGGGTGCTATACTGTTGATGAGCTTTGTTCGAGCAATGCTTCGTACAGAACGATTAAAAAAAGATGAAAATCTTTTTAATCACAACTCTGAACAGCCAGACTTATACCAGGGTCATGAGCTTGACCAGCTCGCTTTGTGGCTTGGAGGAGACAGTCCAAAACCTGGAAACCCCCCATGCACCTTAAACTGGCATGTTTCGGCTTCGCACAATCTACATGAAGCACTGCAGAAAGAGTATGAAAAAGGAATCTTACCAACTCGACCGGATTTACACACGAAGCCTGCTACGAGGTACTTCTACTTCAGGGCCCGACTTGGAGAGCTGACTGGACTTAACCCAGTCCCAGCCCAAGGAAGTAGTGCTTGGGACGACCACCAAATAGCAGTACGTCAACTTGCGAAAAACGTCGCTCAGGCGGTGGAAAAGACCATACAAATTCTTTTCGATGAAAGATCCGCAACGCCTGTTGTGCTTTCTGAAGAACGGAAAAAAGCCACTGTTCTTTTTTGGCCTCTTCCATGCATGACTTACTCGACCAAGGAAGCAGAGGACTGCCTAGTTTACTTGTCACTGAAGCGGGAGAATTCGAACTCCGGGGTGCCGCAAAACTCTTGGCGAGCAAATATTTCCGAGATCGAGGCAGCTCTCGGGCTTTGGCTTTGGTCTTTGAAGTGCCGAATGAGGCAGAGAGCTGACAGCAAAGACGACCGTAAGACTCGATACGAGCAGGGGTTTAGCCGGCTTCTTTCTCTGGATCAAAATGACGAGATCGATTTCGAATTTTGGCGGAGGAAGGGGGACAACGCGATCAGAAAATCCAGATTGACAATGACTTCCTCCTTTCGGGACAGCTCTACGCAGGGAAAGCCAATTCAGCCACCCGAGAGTCCGAGCCATAGTGGACGACCGCTTTTTGGTTGGCACCTTGTGCCCGCAAACCACACTCTCCAAGGCGGCGTCGACGTGCTGGAAATTTCAACTACGAGTTCGCTCGCTAAAGCTTGCGCCCAAGATATCTACTCATTGTTTCTGCTGGCAGCTCTCACTATGGTCGAGAATATTGGAGGTAAAACCTTGATTGAGTCACCATCTCTTCTTCAAGTAAACGGCAATGTGTCATCGATTTTGGAAACATTCACTACCAGTGGATTGGGCTCTACTGGAGATGCCTTCAGTTGCATATTGCCTGCCCTAAAATGGCGTGGCCTGCTACCAAGAGTCGAGGATGCGTTTTCTCATGCCAGGACTGAGGCCGGACGACTGGTCAAAGCGAAGGAATGGGATAAGGCGAAGAAGTTACTTCTTTGGGTCATTACGCACTCTACAACGCCAAATGTTCAGTCTGAACCGAGTGAGCTGGAAAACCACATTGAAAAGGACTGGAATGAGTACCGTCTCTCTCTCCTACAACTTTGCGAATGCTACCGAAAAGCATCGCTTTCTATTAACTTTGACAGTATTGGAATCGAGGGAATGTCGACACTGCTAGAGAATCACATTAATCGACTGGACGGAATAGGGCTCACCATGCAAACATCGCTCAAGGCTCAAGATCTTCTTGCTGATGCGCTTCGATGTTATGGCCAAGTCGCATTGGCATACGCGCGTGAACATTCCATGACAGGAATGGTCGGCAAACTAGAAGGCCAGTTACGTAATGCACAACACACGTCTATCATTCCAAATACCGGGCTTTACGAAGCCGTCAGGTCCCGTAGATTCGCTACGGCTTTATATCATCTAGACGATGAAACAAACTCGGATGGTCCTTTCCCTAGAACCACACTGTCTTACGCTGCAGAGTGGGGATGGTATCCTGTTGTTCAGAATCTTGTTGAAAACGGCTCACCAGTAGGGGAAAGAGATACACTTGATCGTACTCCACTATCGTACGCTGCAGCAAATGGAGACCAAAACACTTTCAGCTTCCTCCTAGACAAGGATTCATTTCCCGACTCCGCAGACAAACAAAAACGCACTGCGCTCTCCTACGCCGCAGAGAACAATCACCTTGTCGTTCTGGAGATGCTTCTTAAAGACCAGAGAGTTAATGCTGAACTCGAAGATGATGAGGGTAGAACGGCTTTGTGGTGGGCAGTACGACGTGGCCACGAAAAAGCAGCGCATGTCTTGCTGCAGAAAAGCCGAGTGAAGTCAACAGAGTCTTCAGATCACGGGAAACTCCTCCATTGGGCAGTTGTTCATGGTATGCAAAGTATTGCCGAACAAATCATCAAAAGCGGTGTCGATGTCAATGTGCAGGGAAATTATCGAAACATTAGCGCACTCGAGGCTGGATCGGCTGCAGGCCACGAGAGTATTGTTAAATTATTGCTCTCCAAAGGCGCTGATCCAAATATCCATGGGGGAACTTTTACGAGTCCGCTAGAAGCTGCCAAAGCTTTGGGACACGAAACAATTGCTAAAATGCTTCTAGAATCGAAAGCCGATCCTTGTATTAAAGTGGATACTTGGAATATTCAAGATATGTTACAGCGAGAATCCGGAAAAGGGAATGAATCTATCGTCCATATTTTGCTCGACAAAGGTGCCGACGTCAACGCGCAGGGCGGCAAATACGGTAATGCTCTTCAGGCTGCTTCTTCTGAGGGCTACGAGGAGATCGTTCAGATGCTGCTCGACAAGGGTGCCGACATCAACGCGCAGGGCGGCAAATACGGTAATGCTCTCCAGGCTGCTTCTTCTAAGGGCTATAAGAAGATCGTTCAGATACTGCTCGACAAGGATGCCGACGTCAACGCGCAGGGCGGCGACTACGGCAATGCTCTCTACACTGCTTCTTCTAAGGGCTATGAGAAGATCGTTCAGATACTACTCGACAAGGGTGCCGACGTCAACGCGCAGGGCGGCGACTACGGCAATGCTCTCTACACTGCTTCTTCTAAGGGCTATGAGAAGATCGTTCAGATACTACTCGATAAGGGTGCCGACGTCAACGCGCAGGGCGGCAAGTACGGCAATGCTCTCCAGGCTGCTTCTTCTGAGGGCTACGAGGAGATCGTTCAGATGCTGCTCGACAAAGGTGCCGACGTCAACGCGCAGGGCGGTACGTTCGGCAATACTCTCCAGGCTGCTTCTTCTGAGGGCCACGAGAAGATCGTTCAGATGCTACTCGACAAGGGTGCCGACGTCAACGCGCAGGGCGGC